ATATGTGAACAGTGGTTATATGTAAACAGTGATTATATGTGAACAGTAGTTATATGTGAACAGTAGTTATATGTAAACAGTGGTTATATGTAAACAGTGATTATATGTGAACAGTGATTATATGTGAACAGTAGTTATATGTGAACAGTGATTATATGTGAACAGTAGTTATATGTGAACAGTGATTATATGTGAACAGTAGTTATATGTGAACAGTAGTTATATGTAAACAGTGGTTATATGTAAACAGTGATTATATGTGAACGTGATTATATGTGAACAGTAGTTATATGTGAACAGTGATTATATGTGAACAGTAGTTATATGTGAACAGTGGTTATATGTGAACAGTGATTATATGTGAACAGTAGTTATATGTGAACAGTAGTTATATGTAAACAGTGGTTATATGTAAACAGTGATTATATGTGAACAGTGATTATATGTGAACAGTAGTTATATGTGAACAGTAGTTATATGTGAACAGTAGTTATATGTGAACAGTGATTATATGTAAACAGTGATTATATGTGAACAGTAGTTATATGTGAACAGTAGTTATATGTGAACAGTGATTATATGTAAACAGTGATTATATGTGAACAGTAGTTATATGTGAACAGTGGTTATATGTGAACAGGTAGTTATATGTGAACAGTAGTTATATGTAGAACAGTGAGTATATGTGAACAGTATTTATATGTGAACAGTAGTAGTTAAGTAGTATATTTTGTGACAGTGGATTATATGTAAAACAGTGATTATATGTGAACAGTAGTTATATGTGAACAGAGGTTATATGTGAACAGTAGGTTTATGATGTAAACAGTAGATTATATTGTAACAGTGATGTTATATGTGAACAGTAGTTATATGTGAACACGCCCCGGCAGTTATATGTGAACAGTAGGTTATATGTGAACAAGTGATTATATGTGAACAGTAGTTATATGTGAACAGTAGTTATATGTAAACAGTGGTTATAGTTAAACAGTGATTATATGTGAACAGTGATATATGTGAACAGTAAGTGTATATGTGAACAGTGATTTATATGTGAACAGTAGTTATATGTGAACATGATTATATGTGAACAGGTAGTTATATGTGAACAGTAGGTATATGGAAACAGTAGGTTATATGTGAAACAGTGAGTATATGTTAAACAGTGGATTATATGTAACAGTCGATTTATATGTGACCGAAGAGGAGGATTATTATTGTGAACCAGTTAGGTTATATGTGAACAGTGATTATATGTGAACAGTAGTTATAGGTGAACAGTGATTATATGTGAACAGTAGTTATATGTGAACAGTGATTATATGTGAACAGTAGTTATATGTGAACAGTGATTTATTGTGAACAGTAGTTATATGTGAACAGTAGTTATATGTAAACAGTGGTTATATGTAAACAGTGATTATATGTGAACAGTGATTATATGTGAACAGTAGTTATATGTGAACAGTGATTATATGTGAACAGTAGTTATATGTGAACAGTAGTTATATGTGAACAGTGATTATATGTGAACAGTGATTATATGTGAAGAGTAGTTTTATGTGAACAGTAGTTATATGTGAACAGTGATTATATGTGAACAGTAGTTTTATGTGAACAGTAGTTATATGTGAACAGTGATTTTATGTGAACAGTAGTTTTATGTGAACAGTAGTTATATGTGAACAGTAGTTATATGTAAACAGTGATTATATGTGAACAGTAGTTATATGTAAACAGTGATTATATGTGAACAGTGATTATATGTGAACAGTGATTATATGTGAAGAGTAGTTTTATGTGAACAGTAGTTTTATGTGAACAGTAGTTATATGTAAACAGTGATTTTATGTGAACAGTGATTATATGTGAACAGTAGTTATATGTGAACAGTGATTATATGTGAACAGTAGTTATATGTGAACAGTGATTATATGTGAACAGTAGTTATATGTGAACAGTGATTATATGTGAACAGTAGTTATATGTGAACAGTAGTTATATGTAAACAGTGGTTATATGTAAACAGTGATTATATGTGAACAGTGATTATATGTGAACAGTAGTTATATGTGAACAGTGATTATATGTGAACAGTAGTTATATGTGAACAGTGATTATATGTGAACAGTAGTTATATGTGAACAGTGATTATATGTGAACAGTGATTATATGTGAAGAGTAGTTTTATGTGAACAGTAGTTATATGTGAACAGTGATTATATGTGAACAGTAGTTTTATGTGAACAGTAGTTATATGTGAACAGTGATTTTATGTGAACAGTAGTTTTATGTGAACAGTAGTTATATGTGAACAGTAGTTATATGTAAACAGTGATTATATGTGAACAGTAGTTATATGTAAACAGTGATTATATGTGAACAGTGATTATATGTGAACAGTGATTATATGTGAAGAGTAGTTTTATGTGAACAGTAGTTATATGTGAACAGTGATTATATGTGAACAGTAGTTTTATGTGAACAGTAGTTATATGTAAACAGTGATTTTATGTGAACAGTGATTTTACGTGAACAGTAGTTTTATGTGAACAGTAGTTATATGTAAACAGTGATTATATGTGAACAGTAGTTATATGTAAACAGTGATTATATGTGAACAGTGATTATATGTGATCAGTGATTATATGTAAACAGTAGTTATATGTAAACAGTGATTTTATGTGAACAGTGGTTATATGTAAACAGTGATTATATGTGAACAGTGGTTATATGTAAACAGTGATTATATGTGAACAGTGATTATATGTAAACAGTGGTTATATGTAAACAGTGATTATATGTGAACAGTGGTTATATGTAAACAGTGATTATATGTGAACAGTGATTATATGTAAACAGTGGTTATATGTAAACAGTGATTTTATGTGAACAGTGGTTATATGTAAACAGTGATTATATGTAAACAGTGATTTTATGTGAACAGTAGTTTTATGTAAACAGTGATTATATGTGAACAGTAGTTATATGTGAACAGTGATTATATGTGAACAGTAGTTATATGTGAACAGTAGTTATATTTGAACAGTAGTTATCAGAGGTGGGACCAAGTCATTGTTTTGCAAGTCCAAGTCAAGTCTCAAGTCAGGATGGGAAAGTTCAAGTCAAGTCCAAGTCCTAAACTTTGACAAAACGAGTCTTAAACAAGTCCTTATGTGCTTTTCAACAAATGTAATGACATCGATCAATAGAATAATACTTAATAATCAAACTGCTCTTTATTAGTCACATTAATAATTTAATAATCCATTTCCTCTCTGCTGGTAAAGTAACGTGTTTTCTTCTATTGTAAGAGGGATCAGTAAGGTAAGGCTACCGTGACGGTTTGATTCAGAAGGAGTTTAATGTATAAGATCCCTGATGTTGAGGTGACCAGAATGTTTATTTCCACTGTACAACATGTTATAAGGGACCCACAACCTATCTTTATGCAAGGGATAATGTGCAGCGAGGCGTCTCTATGGGGGAAAAGAACACCTTCATCTAGATCCCTCTGCAGGTGGTACTTTAACTATATTTTGATGATAATACTTTTCTACTTTTACTTGTAACATTTTGAATGCAGGACTTTTTATTGTAACCGAGTATTCCTACACTCTGGTACTGTTACTCAAGTACAAGATCTGAACTTCTCCCACCTCTGACAATAAATCCTGAGTGGTTACCAAAACAAAACCCCTGCTCTGAAGGTTATTTTCATTTTACAAATCCTGCACTCAGCTTTGCTTTCTCCAATATCATTGAAATGCAGCCAGAAGCTGCTCCTTTTTTCGGTTTTCGCTCATTTCTTGACTTTTTCCGACGCGCTTGCATTTAAATCTGTCTCCCCGTCTCCCCGTCGCTCTGTGTAGCTGGCCTGTACCACTACACCTGCTGTCTTTGGAGCGTCTGCCCCCCACCCTTCTTTCACATAATGGTATGATCCTAGTGTGTCCTCGCATATGATTGGCCGCATGGTGGCTCAGCAAAATAAAAACCCGCCCCTTCCTGCATGGATTCTCAGCAAGAGTTGCAGCGGCTGAAGATTCTGCTCTCCCCGACGGGAGTCTGCTCTTCTAGCGGCATCTCGCGATCGGCGTGTTGGAGACCCCTGAATTAAATTATCAAGTCACCTCAAGTCAGAAGGCTCAAGTCCAAGTCAAGTCCCGAGTCATTGGTGTTCAAGTCCAAGTCGAGTCGCAAGTGTTTTGTGATTTTGTCAAGTCGAGTCCAAAGTCATCAAATTGGTGAATCGAGTCTGACTCGAGTCCAAGTCATGTGACTCGAGTCCACACCTCTGGTAGTTATATGTGAACAGTAGTTATATGTGAACAGTAGTTATATGTGAACAGTGATTATATGTGAACAGTAGTTATATGTGAACAGTGATTATATGTGAACAGTAGTTATATGTGAACAGTGATTATATGTGAACAGTAGTTATATGTGAACAGTAGTTATATGTGAACAGTAGTTATATGTGAACAGTAGTTATATGTGAACAGTAGTTATATGTGAACAGTAGTTATATGTGAACAGTAGTTATATGTGAACAGTGGTTATATGTAAACAGTGATTATATGTGAACAGTAGTTATATGTGAACAGTAGTTACATGTGAACAGTGGTTATATGTGAACAGTAGTTATATGTGAACAGTAGTTATATGTGAACAGTAGTTATATGTGAACAGTGATTATATGTGAACAGTGATTATATGTGAACAGTGATTATATGTGAACAGTGGTTAACAGTGATTATATGTGAACAGTGATTATATGTGAACAGTAGTTATATGTGAACAGTAGTTATATGTGAACAATATGTGAACAGTAGTTATATGTGAACAGTAGTTATATGTGAACAGTAGTTATATGTGAACAGTGATTATATGTGAACAGTAGTTATATGTGAACAGTGGTTATATGTGAACAGTAGTTTTATGTAAACAGTAGTTTTATGTGAATACACAGGAAAGAGATGTGAGCCCTGTCTCACCTCCACGGTGCAGGTGAACTCGGACCCGTCGAGCAGCGCCACGCGGCTCTGCATCGTCCTGAAGCTCAGCACCCGGCCAGGTGAGCGAGAGATGCTCGACGACAGGTGACTCGTCGAGTCCTCTGCCAAGGAGCTTTGAGCTTGGCTCTGTGAGAGACGCAGGAAGTGATGTCACAATCCCGACGCAGGAAGTGATGTCACAATCCAGATGAATAATCTGTGTATTTAATTAATAATGTTACCTGTTTGGGCGTGGAGTGGGCGGCGGCTTCAGGGAAAGACTCCGCCTCCTCTCTGGCCTCCTGAGGCTCACCTGTCTCTGTCGTCATGGTGACCTGAGAGCACACAGAGCAGGGAGCTGATAGGCTGTCGGGAAACAGTGCATTACGCTGTGTGGAGTATAATATGTAGTATGTAAGGATGTGTTATGTTAGCATGTAGTACATTAGCATGTAGTACATTAGTTCGTAGTACATTAGTATGTAGCACATTAGCATGTAGCACATTAGCACATTTGTATGTAGCACATTAGCATGTAGTACTGAGTGGTATTTGACAGCAGCATCAGTCACTGTCTGATGATGTCATCACCCTGAGCCAATGGTTACCATCTGCTGACCTCCTGAGTGGTTGATATCAGTCACATGATGATGATGCAGCTCATTACATATTCAGGTATATTTACATATCATTAACATCACATGATTGTTAATAATTATAACGCTGTTCACACCAGCCTGGGGATTCACTGTAAACTCTACAAATACATTATAATAATACAAATAATAATCATTACAAATAAATACAAATAATAATAATAATAATAATACAATAATAATATTAATAATGATCATTAAAGATAATAACAATAACACATTTCCCACCATGTGTTTAATTAAAACAGGATTAAGAAATGTTTCTCTCAATATTTAACATAATCATTTATCTTTATTTTTACTTTTATCATTTTAGAATTCTTATAAATCTAATCTAATGTTTAAATATATAAATCTAATCTAATGTTTAAATATATATAAAGTTGTTTTTTTTCTGTGAAAGTGATTTTTACTTAATGTTGTTATTAAAGGATATTTAGGGATGGTTTTAATCTTTATAATATTATAAATCAGAGATGCGGTGTCTTTGTCCTGCAGCAGGAAACACCCCGCTGCAACACACACACACACACACACACACACACACACACACACACACACACACACACACACACACACACACACACACACACACACACACATACACACAGAGCTGCAGTGTGATGAGGCAGAATTGATGCTCAGTGTGCTGCATAGTAACCTGTAGTAACTGCAGTAATAATATATAATACATGTTATATATACTAATACAATAACAATGATCACTTTATCAGGTAGTAATAAAACACGTTCATCCAGCATCAGCAGAATTTACCTGTCCTCGTGCAGGACGCTCGCCCTCTTCCTCCCGGTAACGGACCCTTTTTTTTTTAACGTCAAAAGTAGTACGTCACGACGCACAGTGGCTGCGGAGCTGTGACGTCACGACGCACGGTGCGTATACAGCTGTTCTATTTATTTGTAATATTTCCACTACAAGCACTGGGAGCAGCGCAACGGTGCAAGAGTTTACAAAAGAACATATCTAAATATCTCTAAGATTAATAACTAGAGTTTACTAAAGAACATATCTAAATATCTCTAAGATTAATAACTAGAGTTTACTAAAGAACATATCTAAATTTCTCTAAGATTAATAACTAGAGTTTACTAAAGAACATATCTAAATTTCTCTAAGATTAATAACTAGAGTTTACTAAAGAACATATCTAAATATCTCTAAGATTAATAACTAGAGTTTACTAAAGAACATATCTAAATGTCTCTAAGATTAATAACTAGAGTTTACTAAAGAACATATCTAAATTTCTCTAAGATTAATAACTAGAGTTTACTAAAGAACATATCTAAATTTCTCTAAGATTAATAACTAGAATCACAACATATTTTAAATCCTAACAAACGATTTAAAAGCAGAAGCAGTAGCAATGATGACTGTGTGTGTGTGTGTGTGTGTGTGTGTGTGTGTGTGTGTGTGTGTGTGTGTGTGTGTTTTACTCACCAGACAGGAAGTGATTTATGCCGACAGGAAGAAGAAGAAGTTAATTTGATTCCAAAAGTGAGCTTTTAAAGATTTTACATTACAGTACATGTCACTTGTTAGTCGCTTTTATCCAAAGCGACTTCCATACTCAGTTCTGTGGACCCTCCCCACAGGAGCACTTTGGGGTGAAGTGTCTCAGGGACACAACGACATGCTGACTGCAGTGGGACTCGAACTTGCTATCCCCTGATTTAAAGTCCAGCGCACTACCCACTGAGCCACAGCCTCCTTTTTTAGTATTTTATGATGTTAATGTGTTGGAACGCTAGCCAATAGGAGTGTGAGTGTTCCGTAGTGATGTCACTGTGTTCAGGAAGTAAACAAAGGAGTCCAATGGAGGCGCTTCAGATACTGACAGACCACGCACTTTATTAAATACTTCAACCAATCACACGTCTGTTATGTGTTTTAGATACTAACATGTTGAGGCTAACATGCTGATGGGTTAGAGATGCTAACGTGTTGAGGCTAACATGATGATGGGTTAGAGATGCTAACGTGTTGAGGCTAACATGATGATGGGTTAGAGATGCTAACGTGTTGAGGCTAACATGATGATGGCTTAGAGATGCTAACGTGTTGAGGCTAACATGCTGATGGCTTAGAGATGCTAACGTGTTGAGGCTAACATGCTGATGGGTTAGAGATGCTAACGTGTTGAGGCTAACATGATGATGGGTTAGAGATGCTAACGTGTTAAGGCTAACATGCTGATGGGTTAGAGATGCTAACGTGTTGAGGCTAACATGGTGATGGGTTAGAGATGCTAACGTGTTGAGGCTAACATGATGATGGCTTAGAGATGCTAACGTGTTGAGGCTAACATGATGATGGGTTAGAGATGCTAACGTGTTGAGGCTAACATGATGATGGGTTAGAGATGCTAACGTGTTGAGGCTAACATGATGATGGGTTAGAGATGCTAACGTGTTGAGGCTAACATGCTGATGGGTTTGAGATGCTAACGTGTTGAGGCTAACATGCTGATGGGTTTGAGATGCTAACGTGTTGAGGCTAACATGATGATGGGTTAGAGATGCTAACGTGTTAAGGCTAACATGCTGATGGGTTAGAGATGCTAACGTGTTGAGGCTAACATGGTGATGGGTTAGAGATGCTAACGTGTTGAGGCTAACATGATGATGGCTTAGAGATGCTAACGTGTTGAGGCTAACATGATGATGGGTTAGAGATGCTAACGTGTTGAGGCTAACATGATGATGGGTTAGAGATGCTAACGTGTTGAGGCTAACATGATGATGGGTTAGAGATGCTAACGTGTTGAGGCTAACATGCTGATGGGTTTGAGATGCTAACGTGTTGAGGCTAACATGCTGATGGGTTTAGAGATGCTAACGTGTTGAGGCTAACATGATGATGGGTTAGAGATGCTAATGTGTTGAGGCTAACATGCTGATGGGTTAGAGATGCTAACGTGTTGAGGCTAACATGATGATGGGTTAGAGATGCTAACGTGTTGAGGCTAACATGCTGATGGGTTAGAGATGCTAACGTGTTGAGGCTAACATGATGATGGGTTAGAGATGCTAACGTGTTAAGGCTAACATGATGATGGGTTAGAGATGCTAACGTGTTGAGGCTAACATGCTGATGGGTTAGAGATGCTAACGTGTTGAGGCTAACATGATGATGGGTTAGAGATGCTAACGTGTTGAGGCTAACATGCTGATGGGTTAGAGATGCTAACGTGTTGAGGCTAACATGATGATGGGTTAGAGATGCTAACGTGTTGAGGCTAACATGCTGATGGGTTAGAGATGCTAACGTGTTGAGGCTAACTTGATGATGGGTTAGAGATGCTAACGTGTTGAGGCTAACATGATGATGGGTTAGAGAAGCTAACGTGTTGAGGCTAACATGCTGATGGGTTAGAGATGCTAACGTGTTGAGGCTAACATGATGATGGGTTAGAGATGCTAACGTGTTGAGGCTAACATGATGATGGGTTAGAGATGCTAACGTGTTGAGGCTAACATGCTGATGGGTTAGAGATGCTAACGTGTTGAGGCTAACATGATGATGGAGGATCCTGGAGGTCGTGCTCACAGTCTAAGCATCAACAGCTCTTTAATTCATCAACAACAGTTCAATAAGAGAATAGGGTTAGCATGCTAGTTCACTTTCAGCATGCTAGTTCACTTTCAGCATGCTAGTTCACTATTAGCACAGACAGAGGCTCACTGTGTGCAGATTTAAATCACTCGGAAATCACTTTATTAAAACACTAAAGATTATTATAGAATACATGGGGAGCAGGGTCAGGTTAGAGGAAACATCCCATAAACTACATGCTGTTTACCTGTGCAGGTGTGGAGCAGATTGATGGAGAGGATGGAGGTCCTGATGGAGAGGATGGAGGTCCTGATGCTGTTTGTCCCTCTCGCTCCGTCCTCTGTTGTCTGATGGATTAGTGTTTGTAGTCTGACACATTAGCCCCACCCACAGATTACACAAACACACACAGCTGTCAGTCACTCAGGGGGCGGGGCTTACATCTGGATTAACTCGGTCATCTGGGGGATTGTGGGATTTGTAGTGTTGAGATCAGCAGGGGGGAACATTTTAATTCAACTCTTGTGTGTGTGTGTGTGTATGTGTGTGTGTGTGTGTGTGTGTGTGTGTGTGTGTGTGTGTGTGTGTGTGTGTGTGTGTGTGTATGTCCTCACACAGTTTCCAGGTGTCATTGAGGAGATACAAGGGGCTTTTCGGCCTTTAAAGGTTCTTCAGGGTCCTTTGGTCCTTTGGGAGGAGGAAGTAATCCAGCTTCTTGGAAACCTGGAGTCTTTTAGAAATGGTTTTGTAGGTCCCAAGAGTTTTTT